GCAAAGGACTTGGGCGGATCCGGCCAGGCCCGTGGCCGCCTCGTGGCTACCTCGTGCGCCGCACCACGTATATTGCACCACGTTGCTTGCACCACATAGCTTGCACCACATAGCTTACACGTTGACAGTACAAGATCTCACTGACTGAGATGCGTTGTGGCTATTATTTATTCTTATCCATCCTGTGTTGTTGGGTCCTCGGTTTGAAGAGACACCGCCCCGCATCTTACTCCTCCTCTTCCCCTTCTCCCTCCTGCCATCCCACTCTTGCCTTCACTCCCGCATGTCACTGTTTCGGCACACCCCTCACACGTTTCGTGGCCCCATGGGAAGCTCCACCGAAGGCCCCAGTGACAGGGTCCACATGCGGCTCCCTGCACACCGCATGATGCTTTCGGCACACCCCTCGCGCGCTTCGTGGCTTCACCGAAGGCCTTGATAGCAGCGCAAACATTCCACGCCCACCACATGATGAATTTGGCACAACGCTTACGCGTTTCGTGGCCCCCCAGGGAGATCCACCGAAGGCCCCAGTGGCATCCCCACATGCGACTCCCCGTCCACCGCATGTCCTTCTCGGCACACCACTCACGCGCTTCGTGGCCCATAGGGAGATCCACCGAAGGCCCCAGTGGCAGGGTCCACATGTGGCTCCCCGCCCACCCCGTGTCCATTTCGGCACACTCCCCACAAGTTTCGTCGCCCCACCTGGAGCTCCACCGAAAGCCCCAGTGGCAGGGTTCACATGTGGCTTCCCGCCCACCGCATGTTCATTTCGGGACACCACTCACGCGCTTCGTGGCCCCATGGGGAAATCCACCGAAGGCCCCAGTGGCAGGGTCCACATGTGGCTCCCCGCCCACCGCATGTCCATTTCGGCACACCACTCACACTTTTCGTGGCCCCATGGGGAAATCCACCGCAGGCGATTGGAAGGGCCCACATGCGGCCCCCCGCTCACTGCATGTTTATGTCGGCACACCCCTCACACGTTTCGTGGCCCCATAGGGGGCCCAACCGAAGGCACACCCACCACACAGCTCGTGGCCTCATGGGCTCGCGGCCTACTCCTTTGTGCTCCGTCTCCAGGAGTTGCCCGACGCCCGTGGGCTTTGCCCAGCGCCTTGCCCGTTGTCAGTCACGCGTATTTTCTGTCCCGTGCCGCGGACAACGGGCGCGCTTTTCTGGGACACCTTCGGGGCGACCGGCGCTCATTGCGATGACTCCGCAATGCGTGGTGCCCAGAGCCGCGGTCAGCGGGGCGCAAGGACAACGAGGTGATAAATGCGAGCGAAGTAAATGGACACAAAACGGCCGGGTCGGGGGTTCGGGCAAATGCGGGCCAGGCGAGCAATATTTCAGATCAGCACACTGGAAGCGAAGAGAGGAGTGGAAGAGCTGGGGCTGGGAAGGAAGTGGGCACGAAGTGGCGGCGAACGGGGCTCGCGCCCAACAATGCATTCCCCCATGAACCCGACGGCTTTTCTCTCTCAGTCAACGCCGCAGTCCTTTTGATGGCCCCTTCCTCCGTCTCAACTGCCCCGCAATACACGAAGAAGCGGCTCATGTTTGGATCCTTCACCATGATTATCTCTTTTTTTGACCCGATTCCCATGGGTGGGACCTCCAGCGGCTCGGCGCGGGCTCCCACCCCTCGCCCTCCTGTCATATCGAGGGGCTCGCCCAAGACAGGCCAAGCGAGAGGGCCCGCGGCCCTGCCTCCATATGCCTCCGCAGTGATGCAGCAATCCGCTGCCCCGCGGCCCTGCCTCCATATGCTTCCGCAGTGAGGCAGCAGTCCGCTGGCCCAGTTCTGTTGTGGCTGGGATCGAACCCGTTCCCCCTAAGCGTCTTCAGTCCTGCCTTCCTCCAAGCTTCCCGCGTTGGGTGTTCGGTTTGAGGAGAGCGCCGATTTCTCCGACTTGCTTGCCCCCCTTCCTCATCCTGCTCATCCTTATCTCCCTCCATCCTCGAGCCTCCTGTCTCCTGCATGCGGCTCCCCTCCTCCTGCCAGAGTCGCCCTCTGGCCCTCTGCATCCCACCTCCTCCTCCCTCCTCCCTCCTGCCACGCGGTGCTGCGAACTGCACAGGTGTCGCCACTGTCGTGGGCTCTGGAGAAGTCCAGCGGCGCCACGTCCTGCGTTCCGAGGCGGGGATTAATCCAGAACGACCGCCTGGGGAATCGGGATGCGGGACCCTGGTACGCTGTGGATACGATATATTCGGGCCCTTTGGAGAGGGAAACATATCATCCATATTCGCCAGTTGGTCCCATCGATCCGATTTGGTATCGGTTTCGCTGGCCCGATCTGTTCCGATCCCCGTTGTTCGGACGATGCGATGCGGTCCGATGCTTGCATGGCGCTCTTGTGAGTACTGGCGCGACTGCTCCGATTCGATTCCGACTCTGTGCAGATGCAGGCCGATCCGATGCGCATTCTGGTACGATCCGATTGCGGACGCCTTACGGCAGGTGCCGCCGAGCCTGCAGGGGGACGACGACGGCGATGACGACGACGACGCTGACGCGATGCGATCCGACTTCCCGATCCGATGCCGACTCGCCCTGCGGAGGGCCGCCCCGCACGCGGGGACCCCCAGCCGAGACCTCGCCCTCCCCCGCAGGGCCTGCGAACGGTGCTCGGCGTCACCCCAACACACTGACAAGATGTGTGCGTCGCCGCACCCCGGGTGCGACGCCCGCGCCGAGAAATCTCAATAGCATGAGCTCCGTGGCGGGGGTGTCCTGGCCATGCAGCTCTGGGAATGACCGTCACCGCAAGATGCCTGTCCTACATGTTCGTTTCGGTCGCACGCCTCCGAGGAGGGCGCATCGTACCCATCCCCCGTGCCGCCTCCGCGGCGCCGAGGCGAGTGCGACATGCCGCCCGTTCGTGCGCGACGTGCGCGGCGTCCTGCTCCTGCCACAATTTGCGACGTCGACGACAGAGCGGCCATGCTGGAAGGGAGAGCGTCCACTTTGTGCTGTTGTTCGATGGGTCGCACGGCAGGGCCCAGACGAGCGGGCTATCGGCCGGCTAGGCGGCAAAGCGGGAGCACAGTCAACCCGCATAACTAGTAAGGGTGAGCAGCTTTCCAGGGTTACCTTTGCCTCCTTTCGCTTCGGCCGATTCTTGGCCGCTCTCGCTGGTCGCGCCCCGCCCGCAGAGCGTCGATATGGCCTTCCAAGGCCCTTGCATCCTTATCGCGCGTCCTCCTCCTCCTCCTCCTTCTCCTACCTCCTCCTTCTCCTCCTCCTCCTTCTCCTACCTCCTCCTCCTCCTCCTTCTCCTACCTACCTTGCGTCCTGTGTGCTCTCTCGCGTCACAGCCCCCGCGGGGCCTGCGAGCAGCGCAGCCAGCTCCGGGCAGCCGCCCGTGCGCGCCGGCTCAGGGGCTGCGGGTCGGGGAGGAGTGCGTCCACGTGGCGGACGAGCGGGCGCTGGCAGAGGCGGGGCGGATCTCGCCCGGCACGTTGAGGCGGGCGGGCGCCGGGGCAGAGGTCGGACAGAGGCATCTTGTGGTAGGTGAGTGGATGCATCTCAGGTGTTGTCAGCCATGAGCTGTTGCCTCCCCGGGCGATTAGCGTTCATCACGGCTTAGGAGCGGTAGGTAGGTGCTATAGTAGGCGTGAGTGTGGTAGGCGTGAGCAGGCACGCATCACGGGACAGCTCGCCCCTTGGCCCCCCGCCAGCCCCACGCCGAGGAACGAGCACATATACGGATGCAGCTCTGCGCTGGATGCGATACATCCGGTTGGGCTAGGTAGGGGGACTGCATCCAATGTCGAAGGTGATCTATATTCCAACGCTGTGGCTGCATGATGCGCCCCGAACTCCAGACCAACGAACTCAGCCCAATGTCGAACGTGATCCATATCCCAACGCTGTGTGGCTGCATGATGCGCTTCGAACTCCAAACCAACGAATCCGCTGATCACGCCTGACCGCCCGTGCATGGCACATGGTGCTGCTCGGTTACGTCAAGAAAGTATCCTCACCGCCCTGGCTTAAAACTGCCAGCGAAATATCATCACACCCCTCGCTTAAAACTGCCAAGGACAAAAAAAAACCCTGGCCCCAAAATGCCAGCGACATATCCTCACCCCCTGGCCTAGAACTGCCAGCGAGATATCCTCAACCCCTGGCCTAAAACTGCCAGCGAAACATCCTCAACCCCGTCGCGTAGAGCTGCCAGCGAAATATCCTCACCCCCTGGCCTGACACTGCCAGCGACATATCCTCACCCCCTGGCCTAAAGCTGCCAGCGAGATATCCTCAACCCCCTGACTCAAAACTTCCAGCGAAATATCCTCATACCCCTCGCTTAAAGCTGCCAGCGAAATATCTTCACCCCCTGGCCAAAACCTGCCAGCGAAATATCCTCACCCTCTGGCCTAAAGCTGCCAGCGAAATATGCTCACCCCCTGGCCAAAACCTGCCAGCGAGATGTCCTCACCCTCTGGCCTAAAACTGCCAGCGAAACCTCCTCAACCTCCTGACATAAAACTGCCAGTGAATGATCCTCACCCCTGGAAGTAAAACTGCCATCTAACGGCTTTGGTGATGCAGTTCGGTTCTCGCCCGTGCATAAGGACATGTGTAGACACTGATCGGCGCTGACAGGACGGAGCCTGTCTTGGGATCATTCGCACAACACACATAAGCCATTCGCCAGGCAAAATCAGCGTAAAACTAAACTTTCGATGGTCCACGCGGATTTCTTGGATCTGCGCTGGAGTCCCCTGGCGCGCTCCGCACGCCATGGGGGGGCGGCACAACTCCAAGCAATCCGCGGGGACCGTCGAGAGTTTATGCTTATGCCGATTCTTCTTCCTCTCAGCCAGTGTCCCAGGTAAGGGGAGACTGGCTTAGAGGAAGAACATGCTGTCCTCTATGTTTCTTCAATGGTGTCCTACATGTTTCTTCAACGGTTTTCCGTGTTCACCCTGATGGTGTCCGACAGCTCTTCGCGGCCCAAAACCTCAAAGATGCTTTCAGAAAATTCCCAAAGGCCCTCAAGAGAGCCGCAATATGACCCCAAGGCAGCCGGAGAGTGCCAAGATGGCCCAAGAAGACCCTCCTCTCTCTCACCCTGCTTCCTGTTCTCCTGACCCTCATGCTCACCCTTCTTGTGTACCGTCCCCGCTTCGTTCTCAAACATTCCTGAGCGCGCGCTTGCCGAGCGCTGCTCTTGCAGAGCAATTCTGCGTCTTGCTGCGAGGGCCCCCCCTCTCCCGTTCATCCTCCCTCTTCCCTCCGTCCCCTGCTCGCAGCCCCGCCTCTGTCCCCTGGAATTCGTCGGGACTTCGCGCGGATCTGCCCTCACAGAAAATAATAAGAAGGACCCTTCGATCCACCCAACTAACACCTCCCACCACGCGCTCAACCCATCCTACACCGTCCTCATCCTGCACCCCCCCATTATCACCAGGACCGCCCCGCCCACAATCCTACACCTGGCTATCCTCCCATCGCAGAACAGCTGTCCTACAGCCCCTCTGGGTGGCGTGTCCTCCCTTTTTGGAGTACCACCCAGTACAGTCCCGCCTTTGCCCCCCGAGAATCTGCGGGGACTTCGCGTGGCTCTTCCCACAAACAAGAACAGGAAAACAACTGTTTCGAACCGCCCAACTGGCACTTTCCATCACGCGCCCAACCCATCCTAGACCTCCTTCTCCTGACAATGGGACCACCGCACCCAGCATCCTACACCCGCTTACCCGTCTGTGGCAAAGCGGCTATCATACACCCTCTCCATGTAGTGCGTCATCCTTCCTAAAGTTCCACCCGATATTGCCTCGCCTCGACCCCCTGAAGTCGTCAGGACTTCTCGCGCTTCCTCCTCCAATCGAGAAGGGGAAGAGAACACATGAGTACACGTTTCGAATCACCCACCAGGTACCTCCAACCACGCGCCCAACCCAACCTATCCCCCCGCCCTTCCTCATCCTACATCCCCTCCCCGTTTCACTGGAGCCATTCCGCCCACCACCCCTCACATAGCTACCCTCCCATCGCACTTGTGGAATCCAAAACCCGGATAGCAGCGCCGTCCAGTTCGCCACAGGGACAAGCCGAGCAGCCCGCAAGTTTGTTGGACATGTTTGCAAGGAAGCTTGAAGACAAGCCCGACAAGCTTCAAGTTTGGAACAGCTGCTGCGCACGAGCCCAGGGAAGCGATGCGAAGGAGCTGCGCAAAGGCTTGCGGCACACGCATTGGGAAGGAATAGGAAAACGCTTTCAGAACACGCTGCGAGTTCCAGCAGCCTGCTGCGAGTTTCTTGACTGAACTGGCCCACCCTTGACTGCGGGCTTCTTTCTCTGAAACCCTAAACAGCTTTCAAGGAGCTATCCAGAAACAACAACAAAAAGCAGTGGTGCTTCCTGTCGGGTAGCGCGTTTCCCTTCAAACGTACCAGCCAATACAGCCTGGCCTTTTCCCACTACACACTGCGTCCAGACTTCGCACTGCTTTGTCTTCATATGAGTATAACAACAAAACTCCTTCGAACCATCCAGAGGGCATCTCCCGCCATGCGCCCAGCAGCCCGTCCTACACCCCTCGCTTCGCCTCATCCTGCGCCCCCGCCCCCCGTCACCGGGACCACACCTACTATCCTGCACCAGGCTACCCTCCCATAGAAAAACAGCCATCATGCACCCGCTTTGGGTGGCGCGTCTTTCTTCGCACAGTACGTCTCAGTACAGCACCGTCTTTGCCCCTCTGGAATTCGTCTGGACTTCTCCTGGTTGTAATATCAAATATCAAGTTGGCGCCACGGCGCCAACTTGCCGGGCCCCCGCCGGCCCTCCTATGGCAAGTCCGAGTCCGAGTCCGAGTCTGAATCTGAGTGAAAAGACACTTCTTCCGAACCACCAAACTGGTATTTCCAACACGCGGCCAGCATCCTACACTCCCTGTCTCTCCTCATCCTACACCCATCCCCCCCTGTCACCGGAACCACCAGCCCACAATTCTTACACACGGCTACCATCCCTTCCCAACACATCAGCTATTCTACACTCGCTTTGGGTGGCGCGTCCTCCTTCCCAGTGTCAAGAATCAGTGTGACAATTGATATGTTTTCATTGTGGCCATACGGCAGGGGGAGGAGGAGGAGGAGGAAACGGAGAAGGAAAACGAGGAGGAGGAGGAGAAGGAGGAGGAGGGAGGAGGAGGAGGAGGGAGGAGGGAGGAGGAGGAGGAGGAGGAGGAGGAGGGAGGGAGGGAGGGAGGAGGAGGTCGGGTATGGGAGGGAGTAGGAGCCCCACGGGGGAGGAAGAAAAGGAGGAGGAGGAGGAGGAGAAGGAGCAGAAGGAGGAGCAGGAGGAGGAGGAGGAGCAGGAGGAGGGGGAGGATCGAGAATGAGGTGAGAGGGAGTAGGAGGATCGAGGAAAGCAGGAGGATCGAGGAGGAGGAGGCGGCGGGCCGCGGCCGGGGCGCCCCGCGGAGGCGCGGCTCGCGGCCCCCTGCGCCGCCGGGCAGGCGGGCCGTGGAGGCCGCGCCTCCGCGCTCCTGCGCTGCTGCTGCCCGGAGAGGGTCGGGTCGCCGAGGCACGCGGTCGGAGGATGGGGCCGAGCGGAAGGGGGGGGGGAGGGGGGTCAGGAGCGAAATAAGGACGTACACGTACATGAATCCACGCTGGTTTCGAGAGTTCGCATTGCGCGAATGTTCGTATCCCGCGGCCGGTCTCGCGGGTCAAGGGGCCGTGTTCATGTACATAGCTGGGCGCGTACGTCCTCTGTGGGCTCCCTAGGGGGACAGGGGGTGGGGACAGGGGGGGTGGGGCCGAGCGGAAGGGGAGGATGGGGCCGAGCGGAAGGGGGGGGGAGGGTGGGGACAGGGGGGGGTCTACGAAGTCTGTGGCAGGCAGCTGGCTTCTGCCCCACCGAAAGGCCCATCCCTCGATACACGGCCGCCTCTGGCGCCGGGAGGCGCCGGGAAAAGCAGCTGCGCGAGCTGATTCTCAAACCTCCCCTTTGCCACCCCCCCCGTTCGCCCAGGCCGAGAGGAGCCCGTATTTTAGCATTCGCGAGAACGCCCGTGACCCGTGACCGGCCCGTTGCTCCCCCCGTTCCCCCCCCCCCCCCGCGGGTCACGTCACGATTCGCGCCAGCGCCGTCTGGGCATCGGAGCCTTTCGGAGGCATCCCCGTACAGCGCGCCGGCACGAACCGCGACGTGGTCTCGAACAATGTTCTAGGGGCCCACGCTGAGGTCGCCGTTGCATCGCTGGCGTCGCCAGAGCATCGCCACTGCATCGCGGATGCGTCGGCGATGCGGCGCGATGCTCCGCCCACGTATGCTCGGACCGTGTCTAGGAGGCTTCTGCACAGGGAGCTCAGGTCAAGCAGTGGCGAAGCGTTTTGTCAGAGCCCCGAGTCATCTGGGCAGGGGGTGGCTCGGGACGGCTCCCGACTCCAGCCTCCCGCTGTCGTGCCTAGGGTTGCCCCTGTGTGGCACTCGACTCGAGTTTTCCCCGATCACCTTGTGCCCCATGTGGATCCAGTCCAGTACTGTCTGACACGGGCGCGATTCGGGATCAAGCTGTTCCAGCGTTTTCCAGAATCACGTTTGGGGACGCCAGGGCTTTTCCTGGACCAGGTCTATCATGGGTAATTCGGGTGCTCAATCCTGACCTGCACATAGGCCACAACTTAGCGCGTTGGGATCATTCTGTAGTTTGCACCAGATGTCTCTAGCACATTTTTGGTTGAGACGGTATTGTGAAGATACGTTGCTTATGTGTTCAAATGGCATTACTTGGGCGAGTATTTCTTTTTTATAAGAGAATATCGTGTCCGGAAGAAAATGCCCTGTCGGTCGGTCCTTGCTCAATCAGTGGCGGCGTCAGCGGGCCATGGGCTCACTCAGTGTTGGGTGGGTCGGGTTCGAGGTTCGAGGTTGTCGGACCTTTTCGTCGGTCCTCGGCGGTTTTCCAGCGTCGGGGTGCTTTCCAGCAGCTGCGCCTCGCCGAGAGTGTTTCGGGGGCGCCTGGATCGTTCTGAGCGGCCGCCAGGGAGCCGAGTCATGACCCGAAAATCTACCAGGTGTGGTCGGAGCAGATGTGGTCGGAGGATCGCGCCGCATCGTCGATGCATCGGCAGTGCGGCTCGATCGATGTGGACCCGATCTTCTCCACGCCCATGTTGCCGGCGTTCATGGATGAAGGACGCCCGAGCGGCACCAATGTGCCCCCACCTCCTTGAGATCTCGACGCGACAAGCAGGGTGGGCAGACAGAAAGCCGAAACCAGCACCAAGAACGTACAGTTGTTCCGTTGCCCCTGGGATTGCGCTTCGAGCCAGATCGAGCCCGTCCTGGTTCATCGAGTCGCAGGGGAGAACAGGTGGGAGAGCAACGACCCGCCACGAGCCTCGCCGGCGTCGTCGACGCCTCGGCGGTGCGTCGGCGGTGCAGCCGCGAGGGGGCGCGATGCGCAGACCCCACCCATGCGGAGAAGGCCTCCCAAAAGAGCGCGCGGGGGCAGTGTTGTCAGGGGATGGGGCCAAGGGGAGCGCGCAATCGCCCCCCCGTCGCCCACTCGTCGCCGCTGGGGGGGGGGGGGGGGCCGATAGCCCACCCCCCCAGTTTCGCCATCCTCCTCCGCCTCCTCCTCCTCCTCCTCCTCCTCCTCCTCTGTCCTCTCTCCTCCTCCTCCTCCTCCTCCTCCTCCGCCTCCTCCTCCTCCTCCTCCTCCGCCGCCTCCTCCTCCTCCCCCCCCTCAGCCGAGTCAATGCGTCTCTGCGATCGGCGGCCCGATGGCCAATCGTCGATGTCTCGGCGGTGCATCGCCGATTCCAGGTCGATGCTCCCCCCTGTTCGAGGAGCATCGAGGGACAGCTGATGGCAAGAGCTGGTGGTCCCAGGTCAGACATAGGTCACTCTTGAGGGCGTCACGGAGCGCCGGGGAAACGCTTCGCAGCGCCCTGAACATCTTCCAGATCCGCCTGCTGATTCATCTCAGTCCGACGTTGTGTTCGTCTCTGCCGTCATCCTCAGCAACCTTTGGAGGTCTGCGCGGATCTCTGGGCCACCTCGGCGGCGCCTCGGGCGCCGTTCCCGGCGCGCTTCCAGCGCCAGGGGAGGGGGGGGTTCAGCGCAGAGCTGAGCAAGCCGCGCGGACCTCCCCGACAGTAGAGGAGGGAGATGAGGGGATTTGAGGGAAGAGGAGGAGGAGGAGGAGGCGGAGGAGGAGGAGGAGGACGAGGCGGAGGACGAGGAGGAGGAGGAACAGGGGGAGGAGGACGAGGAGGAGGAGGAGAAGAAGGAATAGGAGAAGGAGGAGGATTACCTGTATGCCAGTTCCACGTATCGTCGTACCATCGCGGTATCAAGTACATGACTTACATCGTTTGTCAGAGTACGCCAATACCCCAATCACATGCCAACTATCCAATACTGTGCCTTTCCCTTCACTGTTGCTGCGTATGCTGCGGGACATTGGCGCCAACTCGGCAGAGCATCCTACACAGCTCTCCTACGCAGCGCCTGTCCAGCATTGTTTGACGCAGCGCAACCCTACGCAACACGGTCCTACGCAGCTCTGTCTTACACAGCTCTGCTATGACCATGGTGCGAGTTCTCCGGCAACATGCAACCTCATACCTTGCAAGGGAGCCAGACGGGGCATACCTGGGGGAGGAATTCAAATACCAGCAATCAGGCACAACATCCTGCAGGGCTACGTGGTTACAAAAGAGGACACACAGTGAATAACGAAATGCATGCGCGGACGCCGCGGACACAATATCAGTTACGGGATCTTTGCTGCATCTCTTTTCCAGGCCCCCAGCCAGCAACCACCAGGCTCAAACTTCGTGTTCCCGCATGCTTGCTTTCACCTGCCTACTCGGCACAAAGCAACCAGCGACACCCCCTTTATACAGTCTCGCAACCAAAGGGCTCCTTTGCGGTGCGCGTCGGCCAGTGGGCTACAGCAACGAGGTTTGCTTACCTCCCACCGATCGGGATACATATGACGTGATAGTTCAAGCCGGACGACTTGATCACGAAGGAGAGGAATATTCTGATCGACTCACAGTACAGACGAAGTTCTGAACAGTACGCCAGCGGATTCACTAACGTCCAACCGCGGCAACCCAGGACCCGCAGCAAGCCACGAAGAGTGGAATTTCTTTCATGCAGCCACGCCTGCTAACCTCGACCCCGACAGCGCACAAACATTACGTGCACAGGTCGAAATTGACAAGCAGGAATCGATCACCGACGACAGCATCGACACATACTGCGTATACGTATCCCTGTACATGGGCATCGAATACGCACCAGCGCCCGCCAGGAAGGGCTGGGCGAAGACCAAGGGAGAGACGCACACCACGATTGCCTACCTGCCTGGCAATAACAGTGCATTTTTCTTACGACAAGAAAGGCTACGAAGTGCTCTCAGATGGTAGATATACTGCGGCTCCCAAGCCAGGGTCGAGACACGCTGGCCGCGCCGATTCCCGCAGATACTATTCTACAGAAAAGCCGACTACCGTCCAGACAACAAACCTCTCAATGCAGAGGGGGACCCCCCACGACATGACAGGAGAGCCCACTCACGTTCACGACGTGGCAAGATCTCAGCGACGACGCCGACCACGACAAAGCGCGGCTCGTACATATTTCAACGAACGCGGCACCGAGAAGAGCCTCAAGGAGGCCGTGCAAGATCTACAATTCGCAAACGGTAAGAGCATGCGAATTCCAGATGGACCAACACTACGCCATCCGCACAAATATCATATTCGAGGATCCCGACGACGAGCGACGCAAACTGATCAGCACCATGACCTATTTCAACCACAATGCCACCATGGGATATGAGCCTTTCACGCTTACCAAATACGTAACACACTCTTTGCACACCTCAGGTGCGTCAGCCCTGCGCCCACCATGGGCAACGTGCATTATCGACAAGCGCAGAAGGCACATCGCACCGATTGTCAGCCACCATCAACCCGACTGCATCGAGCTGGACGAGCCATCCCACGGCGAATGCGACTTGTCCAACCAATGGCAGGGTACAGCGCGAGTCACACCAGGCTGTTATCAAGAGCCCGCGCCGCCAGAGCAATGCGAGCTCCAAGCATCTACGATGGAAAACCCAAGATAGCCGCGAGCACCTTACCACCTCGCACCCACCGACGCCCATCACGGCCTTGCGCTCCAACGTCGCACCGCGCGTTCCGACGGCAATCCAACGTGCAACCCGCCGCAGCTAACTATGGCCCCACCGCGCCCACATGGTTCGCAATTTACAGTCAAACGACCCAAGGTCATCCCTACAAAGGGGGAGTTCAAGTTCCCAACCGACCCCCACATGCGCCATGGCCGTGCACAACAGCAGCCTGCAACGACATGTGATATTGAAAAGGATACTACAGAGCGGCGCGCATGCAAAGGGCGCGCGGCAACGATGCCACCAGGAGAATGCATTCCCAAGTTTACCTTTGAGAACAAATAGGACAAACACGACATGGGAAGGACCAGC